GACCACTTAAGAAATTAATCTCTATTAGCTACCGACTACTCCTTCAGATTTCAGACCCGACCAGAGACACACACATACACTCTTGGCAAAAGGAACTGAGGAGCATAATGACAAAAGATAAATGGGAAAAGCATACTCTTCACATAAGGGAACAACCTCTTGCGCCACACACCTGAAACTACAATACAAACTGATGTACCGCTGGTACATAGTACCAGCCAAAATCCACCACATTTGGCCACAATCCACAGATAAATGCTGGAGATGCAGACTTCAAATAGGCACCATGACACATATATGGTGGACATATGAAAGCCTCCAACCCTTTTGGAACGAGTGCAAAATATATCAGATATGGTACACACACACACACACACACAGGTAACACTAACCCTGGAATTATGCATCCTATTGATCCCACCTGAAAAGACCTCCAATGCCACATGGCCAGCCATGTATCACCTACCCATATCAGTTATCGCAAGGGTCTGGGAAAAAAAGAGTAACCCCAACCCGAGAGCTCCTCATAAGAAAAAAATAACACACAATTGGGTTTATGAAAAGGTCTTTGTTTGCAACCCAATTCAGCACAAAGAAACACATGGGGCAAGCCCACACTATGTGGACTGGTTTTCTGAAACAATCTATAGCAGAGGGCACACTCCACTCAGAAACACCCTAACGAGGCTACACCACACCACATCCTTTCTCTCTCTCCCCCCCCAAACTGGAAAGGTTCAGTTAATGTAATGATTGTACTACTCTGCTATGCTGCAAGGTATTTATCATTGATCCAAATGTTAAGCCTTACTGCCAGGTTAATACCAAATGTATAAAGTTACTTATGAGGACTGTGATAAAACGAGACATATACAAAGAACTAATGTTTAAAGATCTGTTAAATGACAAGGTACAATTACATGTCAACCGCTAATGTTGTACTGACCAATAAAAATTGTCACAAAAAAAAAAAATGAAATCTATTAATTCTGAATAAATTTATGTGTCTTGACTGATGTAAAAACACACCTCCAAACCTAAATCATGATGTATGACTGTATATAATGATGTGACATACAAAGTGGCCCAGCTACACTCCTCACTCCACTTTATGTAAACTAGTTCCTGTAATATGGCGTTAGTGTCTTTAACAATGTGCATATTTTTGTAAACAAGAGTCTGTGAGGGCTGGTAAATTAGCTGTGCTGGAATTTATGCCACATCGAATATATTTGTCCCAGAGACTTCACACAAAAAGGAAACTGGTACATGGGGTTACCGTTATATTCAGGAGACACTGTTAAATCGAAATATTGAGGCTTTATTGCACTGACTCATATCAGGAATATGTCCTGAGAAAATCGAGTTAACTTAACCGCTATGTGGGTCCTGCCTTCCTGATAAAGTGGTTAGACCAAATATCTTAAAATTTAGCATTTGGAATAGTCTGGGTTGCCTACTTTTGAAAATGGTATGCCATAATGGTCTGGGTTGCCTACTTTTGAAAATGGTATGCCATAATGGTATGTCCAAGCTTCCATACTCTCTCAAAGGTTACAATAACTTTGTCGAATTTCAATGTGGAAAAACATAAAAAGAGATGCTCTATATTTGACCCTGTAACCTTCCAAAACCCTATAAAACCTATACATGGAGGTTACCGTTGTACTTGTGAGACATCACTGAACAGAAATGTGAGTGTTTCAGAGCAGCAAAATCATAATATCAGTAAAAGTACAGTTTTTATGTGAAAAATGCAACAACAAAAACTCTGAACACTAAATTTGGCTAGGGTTTGTGACTAAGTGGCTACCACAAAAAACTTGACATACTCCACTGTGAATACCCTGGGATGTCTAGTTTTTCAATTGGTTTGCCATGATGGGGGTAATTTTCATTTCTGGGCTGACATACTGTCTCAAATGCAACCTAAGCCAAGCAAACCAATCTACCAAATTTCTATGTGTAAAAAAATAATAATGGACAATCCGTATATTTGACCCTGTAACTTTCCAAAAACCCCATAAAACATGTACATCAGGGGGACTGTTTTACTCTCAAGACATTGCTGAATACAAAAATGTGTGTTTTATTGCAGTAAAACCTAACACTATTCTGAAATACACAGTTAAAATGACATGTAGAACTTGAAAAATAACATTTCTTAATTTGTCTAATGTTTTTAAATTTTATTTATATAAAATTGAGTTCCATGTATGGATATTTGATATGAAATGAAAGCCCTGTTTCTCCTGAACAAAATGAGGTATAATAAGTGTGGATTCACTTAACATTCTGTGGTTTGTTTACATTTTGTTTTGATCACAACTTGTACAACTGGCTCAGTCCTTAAGGGTTAACATATATTTGCTACACTTGTAAACAATAAATATACAAAGAAGAATTCTATGCATAACTTTGGTGACAGCCCGATGGCAACTTGAAAGATTAGTTATAGACCAAGCAGTCTGGAAAGGTTTTGAATTCTTCTGTGTTCTTGAAACCATTTTTGGGCACCTTGATCGTTTGGCATTTCTCTTCTAAACCAATGTCTATATGTAGCAGGTCCATTAATGTCCCCAATAACAGATCGTATAGTGTTTTGCAGATAATGTTCATTTAAATTGGAGAAATTTGAGCCAACAGGGGCAAGTCAAAATCCAATGAAACCTTTAAAACATCCAAGACAGGTTGAGAGACCTGATAGAGAATAGACTACAAGGTATACATAAGGAATAGGATGAGAAAAGGTTTTGGTAAGATAATAAAAAAGCTGAAAAGAGGGGGATACTCCATATTGGGTTTATCCTCCTCTGTGTCAGGAATAAATCATATTTTTGATTATTTTTAATTGATTAGGAAGATTATTTGGGTGCCTGTGATTTTATTTTCCAGTTAGTTGGTTCTTTTCAGTACACCGACATAGTAACTAAGAACTTGATGTCCTAACAGATGTTTCACTGGTTTGTGGAAGTTTTATATATAATAAAATGTATTTATAATAATCCTTCTCATGGTATTCCTCATTCTTAAAGGACCACTATAGTGCCAGGAAAACATACTTGTTTTCCTGGCACTATAGTGCCCTGAGGGTGCCCCCACCCTCAGGGACCCCCTCCCGCCCGGCTCTGGAAAGGGGAAAAGGGGTAAAATGTACCTTTTTCCAGCGGTGGGTGGGGAGCTCTCCGCCTCCGATCCTCCTCCGTTCCTCCCCGTCGGCTGAATGCGCACGTGCGCATTCAGCAGGTCGCATAGGAAAGCATTATCAATGCTTTCCTATGGACGCTTGCGTGCTCTCACTGTGATTTTCACAGTGAGAATCACGCAAGCGCCTCTAGCGGCTGTCAATGAGACAGCTGCTAGAGGCTTTGGGGGAAGGCTTTACCCATTTATAAACATAGCAGTTTCTCTGAAACTGCTATGTTTATAAAAAAAATGGGTTAACCCTAGCTGGACCTAGCACCCAGACCACTTCATTAAGCTGAAGTGGTCTGGGTGCCTAGAGTGGTCCTTTAAGACATGTTTTTTTTTGTTGTTTTTTTTTAAAGCGCAGTATATGAAAGTACTACAAGCCCAACATATTAAACATTCATCATGGAATCACTAACCTAAGATTCGCACTGGTAAATCGTCATGTAGGTCAAAATAAAATGAGTTAAAGATTAGGTTGTAGATGTTGATTTTTAACTATTTTATATTTATCCATGTTTGACTAAACTTTGCATTGTAAGTTGCCCAGTTCTCAAATTAGTAAAAAAACAAACAAAAAAAAACAAACATTTTCTAAACGGATACGCATTGCAATATAAGTGATTAGCAGTAATCATGTCTATTTCTTCTTTTCCAATGTATGGCGCTGGAGTATTTTGGCATTTTTATGCATTCAGTTTTATACGTTCATCTTACAACAATAAAAACATCTGTTTCTCCTCTCTTGGTGTATCCTATTACCCTTATCACAAAAAGCATTTGCCATATCTGCGGTAAGGAACTATTATCTGAATTTACTCAGCATGACAAATCTATAAATAATGAGGTAATCTAAGAAGAATCACATAATTCGACCTTAAAATGAAAGCAGTTGCAGCAAAGTTTCCATTATTGATCCATTATTTATCATTTTAACTTTCTGGGGAACAAATCTTTATAAACATTAAGCTCCAGAGTCATTGAACTGTTTTACTAAGTATCTAAAAATTAAACAAATGAGGACATTGTAACTTATATTTCCCTATGAACGCAATCATGTATTGTAAATAAATAAAGTAGCCTATTATGAGAAGACAAAGCTTTCTCTATTAAGATTTCTTATTTGCATTTCTTATGTAAATCTCTGAGTGCCACCAGCATAAAAAGTAACAATCTTGTTCAACAGCGAATCCATTATTTTGGAGAACAAGTAAAATCTAACATATCACATCATTCATTCAGTAGACATGGTAAACAGATATCCACTGACTATACCTGACATTTTGTCAATATAAATATGACAGGCTGATTGTCTAATGTAGGGATAGAAAACATTTGGCATTCTAGATGTTGTGAATCCTGATACTATGCCAGCATTATGTCTGTAAGAGGATTTTGGGAGATGTATTCTAAAATATCTGGAGTGCCAAAGGTTGCATACCCCTAATGGGTTGTAGATAATTACTATATTAGCTCAAAATTTTGGTTTGACTTGGTCTGTCTGCAAAGTGACTCCAACTATTTATTTATTTTATTTTTTTAGGAGAAGGACCATCAACTTAATTTCCATGTCATATGTTTACCAGATGTGTGAAGATAACCAGACTCAAGTTCCAGAATTTGTGCTCTTGGGGTTCCAGGGTTAATACCATTTAAAATGCCTTCTCTTCATAATGTTCCTACTAATCTACACTGCAATACTGTGTGGAAATCTTCTCATCATTGTACTGGTGACAACTAGTGATGTCCAGAACTGTTCGCCAAACTGTTCGCCATGAACGGTTTGCCGCGGACTCCAGTCAGCTGACACATTCCAGCCAATCAGCAGCAGACCCTCCCTCTCAGACCCTCCCACCTCCTGGACAGCATCCATTTTGAAGCTTCATTCTTAGTGAGCTGTCCAGGAGGTGGGAGGGTCTGGGAGGGAGGGTCTGCTGCTGATTGCCTGGAATGTGTCAGCTGACTGGAGTCCACGCGAACCGTTCGTGGCGAACCGTGACAAACAGTTCGCGAACCGTTCGGCAAAAAGTTCGGGACATCACTAGTGACAACTATTGACCATCTCAATGTTCCAATGTTTTACTTCCTCAAATACTTAGCTTTAGCGGATGTGTTCCTCACCACAAGCGTTATGCCATCTACACTAAATATTATAATAATGGAAGAGACGACAGTGCCTCTGGCTGGCTGTTTAACTCAACTCTATCTTGTTGGTGTTTCCGGTTTTGTGCAGTGTTTACTCCTTGCAGTGATGTCCTATGATAGATACCTAGCAATTTGTCAACCATTCAGTTACACTTTGATAATGACTCCTAATGTCTGTCTCTCACTGGCTTCTGGGTCCTGGTTGCTAGTTGGTATTTTGTCATCCAGTGAATTTGCATTAGTTTGCCAGTTAAAATTTTGTGGTCTCAATTATTTAGACCATTTCTTCTGCGACTTTGCTCCCACTGTGGCACAATCTATATCGGACACATCACGTTTAATGACATTTGACTTGTTCACCTCAATCACTGTGACATTTATCCCATTTGCTTTTATTGTCATTGTTACGGTATCTCCAGTAATAAAATGTTCAAACCGCCGTTTAGCGAATGCTCCCCGTTCGCAATAATGTGGTCTGGTAGCGGGTATAGTAAAACCATGCGAACCGCCAGCTAGGGAACACTCCAAACTCCCGAACGGTACCTGTATGGCTCTTTCCCTTCACAAGCTCCAAATCCACGAACTGATAATAGTAACCGAACGCCAATATCTTCCAAGCGGCAAATAATCCAAATAAGCAGTCTCTAGTCGCCGGTAATAAAATCCCCCCAATAACGAGACCAAGCTCCGCTTTGAGGGTAAAACACGAACTGATTTACTGTGGGCTACCTGCCCGGTATTTATGCAGGTCTCCCACTTGGTGGACACTCCCCTAGGGGACCAAATGGGAGACTGGAATTACAGAAAGACATGGGGACATTTTGGACACACATCCCCACAATATTCCCATCATGCATCACAGTTCCCTTCCCTCTGCTCGGGGGATAATTGGGAAGTAATTCAATTATCTCCCCGAGCAGAGGCAAATCGCCATTTTAAATACAAGTCACAAAACACATAAAAATCTATAACTTTATAACTGCCGAACATATTGTATTCGTGTAATACATCCCCAGATAGCCTGGATCTGAGTGCATATTCTTGGCGAATAGCGCTCAGATCCCATTCGCATAGTTCAATCGCCATGGAGTCAAAGTCTGTTGCAGTTCTTCGGTATGCGATTGACTCCATGGGACGGCTATCTGGGTTAAGTCCATTCGTGTTGTTGAATCTCCCGAACGGCCGGCATTCGTATGCTTTTGTCGATTGAGAAGGGGAGGTCGACGGCTTCAGCGGTGTTCGGTTGAAAAAGTGTCCGTTTTCAGATCCATGAAATAATCGAACACCGCTGGTCTTTCGCATGGTTAAAATGGCCGCCGCCTCGTGGTCGACATACGAACGACGACCACCCGGCATTCGGTTTTAATTGAGAAGTGTCTGTGGTTAACCGCAACGTTCTAATGGGGATCAATATGTTAACCAGCAGCACACTTCTCTTCTGGGTGGCCGTCCGTTCGGTAGTTTCGTTCAACAAAAAACGACATTCCCTTAAAAAAAGCATACGAATGGGGAAATTCATGTAACCAGCAAAGCAGACGAACACAGTACTTTTAATCCAGACAGATGGGTCTGTCACAGTCATAACCTACATTTTAATTTCATTTACATTTATTAGAATGTATTCTAAAACAGGAAGGAGAAAGTTCCTCTCCACCTGTAGCTCCCACCTCAGCAGTGTGTGCACTTATTACGTGACTCTTATAGTAGTGTATATAGTTCCAGCAGGGGAAAACTCTGCCAATGTCAATAAATTCAAACCATTGTTGTACATTGTAGTGACACCGTTAGCAAATCCAATAATATATAGTTTTAGGAACCACGAAATTAAGGCAGCAATGAGAAAAGTACTTAAGTACAGATTAATGTAGTTGTTCTGGTGTCAACGTACTATCCCTGCAGGCTTTTTAATGTGAACACTGACTTTTCAGAGAAAAAGTGGTGTTTACATTACTATCTAGGATAGTTAATACATTGTTAAACACAAATCTGCACACACCAGTCAAGCCATAAGACTTGCAGGATTGGGCATGGCAAACATCTTGTAACCCTAAATTAGCAAGTGAATATAAAATATCCAATAAATAAGTATTTAATAGTGGGGGATTTCTTAGTAAAACATCCCTATAAAGGCAGGTTTGATGCAATAAAGATCTAGAAATGCTAATGAATCTAAAGCACTATAAAGACAGGATATTAAAATGTGATCAAATCATGTATAAACTGTTAATTTGAAAATGTCCCACGTCTATTAAAAAATGGGAACAAGACCTCATAATTAAAATTGATCAAACAGAATGGGAATCTGCAATATTAAATACATAGAACGGTATAAACTGCCTTAATCTAAGAGAAACACAATACAAGATCTATGATAGATAGTATTGGGTACCAGCAAGACTGGCCAAATTTAAGAATAATTCTTTGGAATAAATAATTGTTGCTGGAGATGTGGTAAAAAATATCAGAAGTGTTTTACATATTTATAATTGCTCATTAATTATAGCAAGCATTTGAACTTATATACAATCTGAATGGTAATATAATAGATATGTGTCTAGAATTAACTTCAATACATTTAAGAACAAATAATATACAATAACAAAGTACCTATAATTTTACATTTATAAACAGCAGTTAAATTATTGATTGCCAGGAATTAGAAAACAACTAATATGCCAACAGTAGAAATATTAAATTGAACAATTGATCTTGTAACGGAAAATGGAAAAAGGCTGCAATACCTATGACCATAGGACATCAAGTAAAAAATATAACGGGATCTCTGGATAAATAAATTAGAAACTATAATGAAAAGAGTATATCTATCAGCAATTACAATATATATTTCTGTCTCTCTCTCAGGAATGTTGTATGTATGTATTTATATAAGGTATTGTTTTGTAATTGTATTTGAAGTTTAACTAAATATGGCCAAAGAATGGATGTAAAG